TTTTACATGGTTTCCAAATATAGTTTATTGTACATCGAAGTAGACGGTTCGTTACAAGTGAATAATATTTTCGAATTAGTAACTTTTGAAATTACGAGTGCAAAGAATACGAATTTAATATTTGACTGACTGTCACTATTTTTAAGGCTACTTTTTTGATAAATGTAGTTGACCGATTGGGATATAGATGAAAACATTCTTTTACCTTTAGCGGTCTACAGGAAGTGATGATCGATCGATGAAACAAATCGACTGATTCATAGCGATAGATATGACTAAATAATCGAATCGACGATAATGTTGATACTAGGATATTTTAGCACAAGTACACATATAAGTATACAAGTACACTTACCGAAGATTTACAGAAGTAGACCTGCGAACAAGGACTGAAAGGGCTACAAGATCCAGTAATTATAACGATTGAAACTAATCTTCAATCTCGTTTCTTAATCATGATTGTGTTTGATCGATGAAGGTTATTCGAATCTTTTTATAATCTGGTAATTAGCTACTCTGTTGGCTAATGATGAAATTGGATGGTTCTACGATACATGTACCTAAATCGGTTTGAAAAATGAAAAATTACTCGAGATAATATCAGTGTTTACGCCACTATGGCGTTATGTCATTAGCTCCAACCATTTTTCGTGATAGTGTTATCGAACATTCTAACGAGCTTAAACGCGAATAGTATTGCGTTCTTCGTTGTTGGTAGCTGGGGCATGTATTACGAGAATTTTAGTCGCATTAAAGTGCTGTATACGAACCTTCTGTGCCTTCGATCCCTAATTTGAGCATATCCATTGTCTTTTATAAATCACCAAATAAAGCTTTTCCAAATAATTGAGAGAATTGTGCACAATCTGACACTGTATATATTTTGAATACTTTTCAACATCTTATTGATTTACATTATTAAATGAAGAATTTCAACTGAATTAAATAAGCATGAATATTACTATATTCTTTTTCAATCATTTTCAAACAACAGATGATTACATAATTGACAGTTAAGAAAGCTAGTACACTAAATTTTATTTTCTGTATTAATTGTAATCTTATCATTCTCCCAGAGTTGTATATATTAATTAATATATAAAAATTTGTATACAATATTGATCCCAAATATATATTACTAAAAGACGCAAGTTTTCTCCTTATCAATTAATTAGTTCGAAACAATTGAACGGCAACGTGTAATCCATTTACAATATTCCAAGCACCGACAATAAAAGTTAAAAGAACAAGCATTCAGTGACTTATAACGACAATATACTGCACACTTTATCGAAAGGATTGGATCCAGCGATCCATGAAGAAGATAGGAAGAGGTGGTTAGCGACTCGAAATCGAAACTGACGAATCTAAGAACTAACAATCCACGACAAAATTCTATTCAAAAACAATATACTCGATCCGAACGTCAGCATTGTTTATAAGAGACTCAGATTGGCCGCTAAATTGCGGATTAAACCGTGCAACTCCGTAAACTCGGTTTCATCGATTCAGCCGTGTCGAAATGTTTTACACCGCATCACGGGACCGACTGCTGTGAAATTAGCACGGTGAAAGACAGAAGGAGGGTTGAGGGAGTTGGGGGTTGAACGGGAGTGTGAAATGAGGCGAACAGCGAGACGTTCCATTAACCTGTTAGCTGTGGAATTTAGTTTGAAAAATCTCTCGTTTTGCGTGTAATGAGATAAAAAAATGAAGTGTGCACTCGTCAAACGCAGTACGAATGCATCTGGGGTATATTTTAATGAAAAACTGAAGCAAAACGAAGAAGAATTACGTGTTTATCTGAAAAACATCATTGTTGACAAAACTAGTATCGTTTCAAGCTTTAAGATCACACGTATACTCGTCAAACGCAGTTAACTGGTTAATGTCGCGGCGTTAATTCCGGTTCGCGAAACCGTTGCATCCAGATGCGAGCGTGCATTCTGGAAGCGTCACGTGTACAACCGTGTATATAAGTACACGCGGCAGCTCGTTCTTCACGCTAATGTCAACGAAAACGATGAAGAGATTGGATGAGATTAGGTGTGCTTCCAGAGAATGACCTGCGATAATTGTGCACCCGTTCGTCACATCGTAGAATAATTTTGTTCCTTTTCTAATGTCCACAATGTAGCGTCTTCAATTTATAAGCTCGATTTATGAAGTCAATTTTGGCAAGATTCTAAGCGTTTGTCGGGATTATCTGATCACGAGGATTCATTCTATAGATTTATAGAAAACGGGTTAAGAATGTATTTTTAGAATCGGTTCCCAGATGGCAACTACATTGTGCGAACGGTATCTTGGGCTACAGGTCCATAGGTCGATCACTTTGTACCTTTTTTCCTTTGGACACGACAAAAGAGACTGGCCGCCGACGATGACCTCGTTAGAGGCTCGTCACCGTACTCCAGAAGCGAATTTATAGCGGAAGATATTTTGATATGTATGTCTATATCGCACGTATAAAGATTTTTTCTTTTGTTTTGGATACTGGATTTGGGATTTAAACTGATTTCTTTTTAGACCGTGGTTATGACTTTAGATGCCACGCGATGGAGAATTTTTGTCTTTTCCGTTGAGGAAATTGAAACTGAAAATTCAAATGGAAATTGAATAATTGTAAAGAAAAGATAATGTAAAAATGTGATACTATATAAAGTTCGTTTATATACAAGGTATTTTATTATTATTAGAAAAGGGATAATTTAAATAATTACAACATAGAATCGTTCTTTAAAGGCTAGAATCATATCACCATTGTTACAGTTTTACTCATGTGCAACTTCGAAGAATAATAATATCAACACTGAGGTATTCTCATTGAGTAAAAGAAAAGGATAAAGTAAACACACGTCAATAAAGAACTATGCTGCTCTTATTAAACTTTAAATCTTTCCCTGAAGCAATTTCTCCGTAAATCTGATTAAAGTTTCTAACGAAAATAACTCGATCATCCAACTGTTCCATTCAAACAAAGACCTCGTCTACGAACAATTTCAATTTCCTTCATCTCGAACATTTTCCTTCTCGATTCAATTCAATCTGATAGAATTTTTCTCCGGCGTGTCTATTTTCCCGCGAAGAACAATCCCAATTTGTGAATTTTATTCGTCAGAACTGTCAAGCTAAGAAATTGCGAGTCCCATTCGCCGGCAAACTCGCCGCGCAATGTTCCGAGCTTCGTTCGTTATTATTATAACCACGGTTGCTATAACCAATGTCCGCGATATCGTTTCCGGCCGGCAGTGTCCCATAAAAGTTGCAATTACTCGTTGGGCGTAGCGAGACATACTGATACGCGCGGTGCAATCTAATAGATACGCACTGCACCACACAGATAAATACATAATGTTTTAGGACGAGCGACACGGTTGTTGCGGACAATTTTCTCCCTTGTCCGTGACCGTTTCTTCGTAAACGTGTTTTACATCATTGTAACAGAGGAATAGAAGAGAAGCAGGCAGACAAACAGAGAGCGATAGAAAGGGGTAAAAGAGTCAAAAGGAGAAGATAGAGGAAGGGGTAAAAAAGTAAAAAAAGAGAGAGGAAAGGATAAAGGAGTGAGAAGAAGAGAGAAAAGGGCGGAGAAGAGAAAAGAGAGAGAGAAATTTAGAAAAGTAAAAAAGAGAAAAACAGATACAGAGAAATGAAAAAGGAAAGGTGTAAAAGAAAAATAGGAAAAGGATCGACGAACAGACATGAGCCACAATTAGAAAGGGAATTACACAGGACATACGCAAGATAAATGAAGAAAAATAGGTAAAAAGATCCACGTTTTTGGGGAGTACAATCAGTTGTCAAAGAGAGAGAGAAAGAGGTGGATAGAGAGAGAATTTTGTCCGCTAACCATGACACCGTTCCAGGACATCACTGGTTGGTGCAGCTCTATGCACACATATGCGAGGAACGGGTGCATTCCGACAATGAGCACAGCCAAAATCGCTAGACGATATGTATGTATATATATATATGTGACAGTCAGTACAACACAGCAGCAGCCGGCAGAGCGTCATACGTCGATGATGAAATAATAACGTTAATCACAATCAAGGAACAGTTTAGAACAAGGTTAACCCTTTGCAGTCTGACGTCGAGCTATGATGTATCGTTTAATTACAGGTGATTGAACATTTAAATCTCACCTGATGGAAATTTTTTTGATATTTTTGTACGTGAAATTGAAACATCAAACACTTTTTTACTATCGCTAATTGTAGAAAGTGGTTGCAACGTTAACTAATATTAGGTTTCTGCAAAATTTTTAATTATTCATATTGGTTATTGATACATTAAATAAGGTTATCAATTATTTATTGTTTTTACTCATGATTCTCAATTGTACCAATAGTCAGATTAATTGAAATAACAGCCAGTCATTTAACTGTTCTCATTTCAATTATAAATTCACTTATTGTGATCAAATGTAGAAGCTTTAACTCTACATTGTCAATATAACTTTTATAAAGACAATTGTAAAAAAAGTACTTATTCCTATGCAACAAAAACATGACAAAGTTAATGCAGCAACCTAATAACACATCTATCTATACGATTACTTATTTCACACGAACTAACTCTCGACATCTCTAATTTCATTTCTACCTCTTCTAACTTTCTAACCCTTTCAAATTCTAAATTCCTAATTTTTGTTTCCAACTGCTTGAAGTGTTCAATTTATTGCAGAGTGCAAAGGGTTGAGAAACAACGGCAGACAAATATTTAAATAGAACACACGAATGCGTAATGTAAAGGGGGAAAGGCATCGAGGAGTATGAAAGGATATGGAGGATGGCGATCTGGTAAACAGAAAATATACAGTAATAGGAATAATAATAATAAGACATTGAGGCACATAGGTGGTACACATATGTATCATATACATAGAGAGATATATAGAGATATATAGAATCGAGCGCTGCACGTTTCATCGTTTCGTTGCACGGAGGGGTGCAAAACCGGTCATGGCCGGCGGTCACAACGAGCTGGCCACAAACCTGTAATGGCGATCTTCGCGGACCACTTGCTGGTACCGTCCAGAACCGACTGCTTCACCGACATCATGTGACCCATATGTGCCGCGTCGTCGACCCCGAAGACTGACCTAAACTCCGACGAGACTTTCTTTCACATGAGCTGTGCCAACGGCCTAGATCTCGTCCTACCTGTTCCTCTTATTCGGCTGGAGCTATTTTCCTGGCGCGCGTAACTCGCGCCATATTTACGCTCCATATTGCCGTTCTTTTATTCTTGCGCGCAGAAACTCACGCGCAATGCAATTTTATCTAAGATCTTCCTTGCAAAAATCTTCAACGTTTTCGCTGTTTGCTGTCTTCTTCAATGTTTGCGAATTCAAAGACTTTGGACATGTCTACAGTGGATTATACTTTCGCGAATTCAATATTTCTTGAAATTAGTTGCTATTAAATTTAATAGAAATTTCGGGAAACGGTCCAATATCTTTATAAGATAACACTTCGAATTTACCTAAGTTCATTATTTTCTATAATATTATTTGCTGAAGCCTCAAATTATTTATACAGATTAAGCATTTTCATAGCAAACCCGATTTACCAAACGTGACAAAAAACTGGACGTTTCATCTCTACATCGTGACTCTACCAACCAACGAAAACATTCGCTTCCAAATCTCCAATTTTTCAATATTGCACAAAATCATATCCTGCATCTATTTATCAACGTAACATTTCCTCGAAATTCCGTGCAAGTTTCTGCGCACCTCCCCAAAGGCTCCGCTCAGAACCTCCTTCTGCAAAGTCGAAGATTCGCGACAAGAGCGTATCTACACATCGAGAATTATGCATTCAGAAGTTTTCGAGTCGTTCTACAAATTTCGTATGTACAAAGTTCCTCGATTTCATTTGAAACGGCGAACAAAGGGGGTAGCAATCTATTCGGTCGCGAAATTTCCGCCGAGCGAGTGCTGCCGCCGATAAATAACTGTTTATCGGAACGCCGATATCTCGGATTGGTTCGGCGCATCAACGAATATTTTCGACGCGTTGCGGACGCACGGTCGTGTAATTAACGCGTGCGGTCATCGATCAGCCCGCTAACGAGGTCGTCGATTGCTCAGTGGCAACGTACTAAAAACTCCCTGCCGCCGTATCTTCGACTTGCGACGACCTACGAGCGGAGCCAGACGATTTTCTAATCCACTCGGTTTTCACCCAGAGAAGACGAGACCCAGCCTTGCGAAAGCTACGAGGTTTTTAGTTCGTTTCACACGGCCTTCGTATCTTTTCTCCCCTGGTCTGCAGTCGCCATTGCTCCGCCGTCTCTTCTGCCTTCTCCTCTATCCGCACGGATTCACTCAAAAGGATCGCTATCCGATCGCATTGTCCCGTATTACTCGCGCACTCCTTTCGATACTGCTTTGCACGGTACGCGTTGATATCTAGCGTTTGCTAACGATATTTCTTTGAGGCTATGGTAATAGACACTGCTTAGTCCTCTAGGAAACTTGTTTTGTGATGAATCAACGTGGGAGGCTAGGTCGAATATCATTCCTCGAAATGTACATTTAAGAGTGCATTATATTTCGATGGCTGTAATGGAAATCTGAGAATGAAAGGGAAATTGTTTATCTTAAATTGTTTTTGTTTGTTACGAAGAAATGTTTGAAACAGGTTATGTATTTTTATAAGTCACGTGAAATGTAATAGTAATGAGTCTTCGCTTGTTTTGCTGTTTCTTTTTTAATAGTTTAACGATGCTTTTTCTTCATTTTGGTCTTCGACAAAAAACGAAATTCTCTAACAAACATATACTTAAAATCTTCCATGGTTTTAGTAAATGAACACACAAACTTTTATCTTGTTTATTCAGAGTCATTAAAAGGTTATAAAATCAAAAAATTCGCGAAGTCTCATTGGCTTTAATTTTTTTCAAATTTCGAAAAATGTTTTCTACTCTATTCGAGCGAAATTTGAAGAAAAGGTAACTACAATACAAGCACAAGTGCAATCTTGAAGGGGAAGAAAGAAGGTAAGCAAACGAAACTTTTTTTCATTTCTTCGCCCATAATTTGTTTTAACGCCCGCGGCAGCTGTTCCATTAATTAATAACAGTCGAAAAAGTATCGAGTGGCTCGACGTTGGGACAAGCGGTACGAGTTGAATTATTGATCGATATTTAATCGATCGATCGACCGCCTTATCAACCCGAACAACTGTGGGGAAATTCCTCAACAGGGAGGCAATATTAATTAACTCTGATCCCCGTTAACCTATACACCGTCCACTTACCGGCTTTCACCGAGATTTTAGACCGTGCTTGATCCTTTTCCACCCTCAAGTCTAAAATAAAACAACCGGTTGATCAAAGATGGTGCTTGAATTAAAATGACTGGCAATTGAAGTCTCCTGGAAAAATGCCTGAATTCTTTTCATTTAGTCGGAAGCGATAGGAAATATATTTTCTAGAAACATAATTATTTATTGGAAGATCTGTGCATCTTCATTACATTCCGTTTAAAGAAATATAATCGATCTTGAAATGATATTTTACAAATAAGGATGCAAGAATATTGTCTTCTCTTTTGATCTGACACATTAATTATTAATTGATGAGCATCTTGTATATTTATAGTAACTGAAATGTACTGGAGTCTTTATTTTAATCTTAATTTTCCAAATTGCTTAGTAAATAGAATAAAGTTTTACTTATTCCGATTCTTGTATTGTAGAGTTTAAAAATGGGAAATTGCAGAAACGTCTGAAGTCTACTCGTGAAGCAACTGGGTACTTAATGTGTTAAGTTTGTACTAAGAATATTTCAGGAAGTGAGTTTAGAAAAGACACTGTAAATTGTGGATGCATTGTTAGATGTTTCTCGCTTTCTTTGTTTTTTACAGCAAGTTTTAGCATAATAGCTGTCTCGCGTAATCTGTTTCGGAGGCATTAAAATGGCCTCCCATTATTAAACTTTTCCAAGGAAGAGCGAAGAAAGTTACGACACGATTTTTATAGTCTTAAACGTGCATCAAGAACAAAATCTAATGCAGACTGGTAGCACATCGTGGGTCTATTAGTTACTTTATCGTTCATCAAGAAACATTTTATTTAATGACTGTGGCAAAGTTTATGCATCGATGACGGACGATACGTTAAAATGGCTAGTTTGTTAGATGTAAAATTAATTTTGAACCATTCGCGTTGGTAGTTAAGAACTTAGCGTCCTAAGAGATAATATAAAAATGGTTGAGAATATTACTACTTGAAAATAACATTTACATCTTCTTGATCAAATTACCATGGAAATCACCGTATTCTTTAATCATATGGTTTCTTTTAAAGCTACATTGAACAGAATTATTTTATTCTTTATAATTTACCAGAAAAAGGAAAGAACTCCACATTTATTCTATACTTATGTTTACTTTACCGTATAATAATTCGTAATAGAAAAATAATAACTCAATTTAAACTCAAAAGAAACAAACGACATTTATACTTGTTAACCGTTTGGATTTGTATGTTATGCTGGAGATGACTCTACAAATTTCTTATACTCTATTCGCGGTACTTTACAAAGTACCACGCTTTAATAATTATAAAAATTAAATTTTATAATAATAATAATAATGAATAAAATAAATACAAAACGTAAAAATTATACCGCTGTGAATTACTTTAATTCATTTCCCTGTAAATAAATACAAGTTTATACTTGACAATATTGAAACAAAATTAAGTGGAAAGCGTTAAAATCTGTTTGAAATCTTCGCCACGAGTCTCATATAATATTGTAAGCTAAAGGGTGAATAAAGTTTATGAACACATACAGATAATTACCTACTCGTTTTTCTATCGACTCACACGATTATTCCATGCTACCAGTTTATGAGAGTGGAAAAGCTTCGCAAATGGATTATAGGACCGTATCATTAACTAATTCAGACTTGTGTCGTATAATTAGGGAATCCCGGCTAATGAGGGATGGATCGTCAGTAATAGCCTGTTGGAGGGTAGCTGCATCGCTGATTAATTTCCCAGCGTGAGAAGATACGATTAGGGTGGTGCCGCATCGATTATGCCATGTGCGGTGGAATTATCAGCTTGATCAATCTCATTATTATTAGCCAGTCGGTTGTACCTAAGGAAACCTTTGAACGGTGGGAAACGACGTGGCACAGTGCTTTTCGAACACCGGCGATTTTCCCCGCTGTCAGCCACGGAAATTGCAATTTTGACCTCTGCACCGGCTTTTGATTACTTAATAGCTGATAACAACTTCGATCGACGCTTCGCTATTACGTTTAAGTCAATCGCTGGAATTCTGGATGCTTTGAGCGTAACTGAATCGACAATGGAATCGACAATGGAGTCAACATAGAAATTAATTATTCGAACTAGAAACGAAAGGGACGACCTAATAATAGAGCGAATGTTCTGTAATTGCGTTTGATTTAATTAATTGTTAAAATTAAGGTATATTGGATATTCTTAAATATACCGGAATCAAATTATAGTAACGATTGGTACTATTATTTTACAATTGAAAATAAATGTGATAGTAGTAATAGTGGAGTAAAAAATAAGATAAAAAATAAGATCAAAAAATGAAAAATAGAACAAATATTTTGAACAGAACGGAAATGGGACTTCAATAGCATTAAAAATTCAGTTGATAAAAATTAGAAAATAAATATTATAGTATGACTTAGTCTAGTAATTACCACTCAATAATTACTCTCTATATCATTGTAGAGACTATATCATTTTAACAAACACTATGAATTATTATTCGGAACGCGTTGCCCTCTCAACATAATAAAATTATCGATATACCACCTACTTTCCACGTTTAATGCCCCACTAATTCAACTGGTCAGGTATATTTCCCATATATTAATGTAGAGAATATTTCACAGGGATCGTAGTACGCTTCCAGGGTTACCACTGGGCAAATGCGTCACATATTTTTATCGCATCCGGTTTAAAATGTACGAAGGTCGTTTGAAACGGGAAAGTAGGAGCTGTTTTTTTTTTATATATGGTTCACTACGTATTCACCGAGGTAGGATAATAATTCAAATCGAGAGATAAGTAAGGAAGTGTGTCGCTGTCAGCATTTCCGAGACATAATACAACGAATTCCCTCTGTTTGTCAAATAAAAAAAGAAGGAAAGGAGTACGCAATCTGTAGTTACGTTTTAACCGTCATTGTATTTAGAAAACTATTTACAATATCTATTGTGCTCTCTGTTCTTTCTTTCGCGGTCACGAATTTTTTCGTTGTTTCCCCGTGATTTGTAACGTCGACCTGATTCTTTTCCACGGAATAGATCTGAATGCTGCTATTGTTTTGGTGCATAATGGAAGCAAGATTGTACACGCGTCGCTTAAAAAGGAGACATAAGATTAATTTTTCGGTATAAATTTGTAGAACTCGAATATTGAGGTAAACCCTGCGCGAACGTGTAGAACAATCTAGATAATAGCTCTACGATTGTACGGAATATCGCGTGTCAAACAATGTCACGTTCTTTTTTTTCGTAAAAACGAGGTATTACGCGCGAAAAAGGGTATCGATCTCGGTGTACATATCGGTCGTAAAATATCGTATCAAATATGGTGGAGATTGACAGGCATGAAGATACAGTGTTGACCATGAATATCTCCGGATTATACAAATACGTTCGCATGCACCAATGTCGCAACCATTGTGAACCGTGTGCTGCATGGTAAATCGCCTAAACATTAGTCACAATTTTTTTTTCAAACGTTGCACACCACCTGAAACGATCTGTACAGCCATGAGTTATCTTCAACGATTCGACGTCTTTTCATGCAGATTTTTAAAAAGCGTAGAAATCTATCAACCAAACATCCGATTAATTCAAATGCAATTGCATTTTAGTTTATGTCTTCGATTTCAATCTTTATTTTCGCGTTGCTTCACCGCAGATAATTGATCGTATCACTCTCAACGATTTCTAAAATATATTACACATTTCGTAGATGAACATTTTCGAATTTTACTTGTACCGTGAATGCAGTAGATAATTTATAATATACAATAAATTATCCAATTCATCATCCTGATCGTATCAAGCGATTTTCAATTCGTTCGGGGCAGTAATTCACTCGGGTAGTTTAATATTCCGCCTCCCGGCCTGTAATTCACCTTTGAATCGATATCGACGCGGTGTTATTGTAGCAGCTTCCGGTTGACAGGCGTCAAATAAATGGATGTTCTACGGGTGAAAGATTCGCGTAACATTTTCCCTTGGTACGTCAAGACGACGTCGAAGGGATGATGCAGATTTGTGAACCTCGATCAATCAGGATTAAATGTCTAATTATATACTTTCGGAATCCACTGCGAGACCTGGATCACGGATTGATTACCCCCAGCTTTTGTGTTTGCTTACGTGAAATCGGAGCCAATACAGGGAATCGGTTAACAGGTATACGAAGCGTCCATTGTACACGCGCTTCAGAATCGTTTTGTGAATTTTCCATTACTATGTCACTCATTTACAATCGACGTAGGTGGTTTACTGTAAACTGGCTTCTGATGCAATGTAAATTATATTTAATTTGTACATACAATGTAAATTAATTAAATATATTGGTATTAACACTAAACTATCGAACAGTTAAATTGACTTCGTGAAATTCCTCTGTGGAAACTTAAAATTGCATCCATTTAGATTTTAATTGTTTTACAATTCAGTTTGCGTATTGTTAATTCAATTTCTTTAATAATTGCTCGGGGAAACAGCCGTTATCCTTTTAATAATTGCAATAAGAAAAAATCAGGAATGGGTAATTTTGACCCGTCTGGTAGTTTTAGTGTTAACAACAATCATTACCCTAAAAAATGTTTTTTTTTAATTTAACAGTAGCTTCACTGGGTTAACAAATTTTAACGGTCAGTTTCAGAGGACGCTTCGATTTAATTTATTATTTCAATGAATGCCAGAAATTGAACTATTTTTTACTTTTTAATAACAAAGATAGCAAAATTCCTATGTATGCAAAGTATTAAAACCTGTGACTTTATAAATATAAACCGTGATTATCCAATTTTTGTCCGGACGTAATATTCTTTATCTCGTCAATGTATTAATAAAACCAATATCGTGTATTTAAGTTCGTTTGAAATGACTTCATCCCGGCATGCAAAAAAGCACGAATAGTTTGAAAACGTTCGCGAACCTCCGTTTATAAAAAGATCATGAACAGTTTGTAAGAAAGTTCTCCAGGATTCGCAGGTATCTGTACACGAAGGGTTTAATGAAGCCGAGAGATTATTTTTTCGCGTTACGCGATGTAAATTTAAAATTAAGAACGGTAGGCGGTCGGGAAACTCGTTAAAAGGTTCCTGAGGAAATTAAGAACGTTAATAACCCGGAATGCTATTCGAGAGAATTCGAGAGGTCGCACGCGAAAAATGGTTGCCTGGCATCGTATCTTTATTAAACTTCCGTGAATTACGAACCGGCCGGCCATGATGCATTAATCTAATACCCGGCTCTATCTCCCTCCCTCGAAAAAAAAGGAGTGTATTGAATGCAGTTTGCTCGTGCCGGCGGGATCGGGAAGTTCCGCTGGGCTAACTGGGTCAGTAATATCGGAGAAAAGTATAGGGAAGAGTATCATAGTTTCCTTCGTATTCCCTAATGTTCTAAGCGTAGCATTAATAATCGTAACTGCAATGACTGCACAAGTATGAAAGTTCGAAAGACCTGCTCAAGTACTTGTATTAATTTTAACGACCGAACTTCGGACTGCTGTTCTTCCTTATTATTGCTTCATTGCGTCTAGATCTCCTTCGACACAAACCGGTCTGAATAATGCTATGAACTATTTCATTCCATTTTTCATCGAATTTAACTTAACGTTTTATTACTTTCTTCATAACTGCACTCGATAAAACTACCATATCGTTAATAGTTTACTAAGAAACGAAAACAATATGATACTTGTTATATCTCTATGTTCACTCCAAAGCTTAACAATCGATAATAGAAAAATAATATATGGTTCGTACTTAAAAGAAATGAATAATAGATTTATGAAATTCAGTTCAAAAACAAGTCTGATACAATGTTATAGGGTAACGGGTTGATTTAGTTCACCCGGGAAAAATATTCGTTTAATGTAAACTTCATTTAAATTTAATTCCAATATCTACACGTAATTTATAATAATTTTATATACTTACAATTTCAAAAACTTCAATTTTCGATTTTTAGCTTATTGTCAAAATCTCTTTTTTTCTTCTTCTAGTTATAATTCCTTATGGACAAACGGACATCGACCGCAGAATATCGAGTTTCGAAGCGCAGGAAAGGAAATATTTTAAAATTTCTTTTCCTGTCCTGATGGTACACCCTCTATCGCGGGACGGCCGGCTGACCTATATTCACCTGATCCAGCGTCCCGGTGTGTTCTGAATGCTGAACTTCGTAGCCTTAGACCGCGCGCGCCGCGACTAATCTATGCAAATGCGAAAATTCCGTCGGGATAAGCCGCAACGTGTTCGGAACGTCGTTCGGCAACAAGGTTCATTTGCACACGGGCGATCGTGGAGTCGAATTATTCGTGCAAAGCAGTGTTCGTTTCTCGAGTTTCGTTTCCTATTGAATTTCAATGAAACAATCCGTCTCATCGCTGCAAACGGTTTCGAAGTCGAATTAGCACGTTCACGCCGGTGCTGTAATTCACATTTTCTCTCGTCTGTTGGCGAAATTCTTAATATTTTTGAAAATATTGAAATTATTAGTAAGTTAATTAATTTTTTAACTCTTTAGACATTTCTTCTATTTACGAAACCAGATTAACGAACTACATATTCGATGGTACACGTCCCCTGATATGACATCAAAATAGTACACGCCGTCTAATGTGGTATCGAAGTATGAACCATCGGTGGTACCCGCCGGCGTGAACGTGTTAACAATCCCTGAGGGCAGTATCAAATTTAAGGAACGATATTTTATAAATCATACGAAATTAACACTAGAACTGACTGACTTTCTTCGCAATAATTAATATCTTGAAAGCATTAAATATTTGAAATGATTGAAAAAATAAACAGTTTCATTTGAATACTATAACGCGCGAAAATCGACAAAAATCTATTGTCACGATTTTTACAAGGATTACATATTAATCGTATTAAACGTTCAGTAGTTCCAGTGTTAAAAAACTTGTTCACACCCTTCCTAACGAATTCAATCGATGCGTTGCAAACAATAAAGACCTCCGTTACGTCTGTTGCTTACAAACGCAATTTTTGAATTCACGTGCCGCCTAAATGGGAAGCAGAGCAAAAGAAGCTCCGCGTTCCACGTGTGAACCGTGCAAAGCAGTGTTTGTTCTTCGAATTTCGTTTCTTATTAAATTCCAATGAAACGCATTTGCATTTCAGTAGATCGACGAGCAATGGCGACGCATCCTGCCGGATAGACGAGTGGCAACAGATCGACCGTTTCACCCTTGAAACTCGTGCATTTCGTCAGTCGACCGACGTCGCTTTTCCCGTTGAATCGACTCTGTTGCGGCAGACGAATCGAGAAAAAAAAGAGAAGAAAAGGAGAGAACGACTGTGGCTAAGAAAAACTCACCGGATCAGCTCGAAGATCTCCGGCTTCTCGAGCTCCCTCTGCTTCATTCTTTCCTTCATGGCCGTGATTATGCTGTTAGCCTTATCCTCGGCGCCGTGCTTTGAGCTCTTCTCAGCCGCCCCTGGGAAAATGAAGCAACCGGTGAAAATTCACGCTGTGAAACTCAAGTCTCGTGATCGCGAGAACTTCTCAAGCCGTGGATTAGGCTGCGTTTATACCGTAGTTGCGATACTCGATAAAAGTATCGATGAGAACGAAGTTTAGAAATAGGTTTCGTTGTTTCAGTGTGAATACGTTTACGCTGAAGCAGCGAGCAAGGCCACATGTGAAAACGTTGCGGCAACGATTATTTTGGAGTAGGGTAACTTGAGGAGAGCTGGCTCACTTTTTTGAAAGGTTTTTTAACCCTCTATAGGCCCGTGTCACTTTGAATGAATTGATTTATTTAATTTTTTATTGCAAAATGATGAATGTGGGAGTAGGGTGCGAAATGACTGATACTTATTCACTTATTTATTATTCAACACTTAAAAAGTACACGGAAGGACTTTTGTCTGACCTAGCGCCAGAACGAACAAACGTGAAGTGACTCTTGCTGTCATTGGTTCATCTGTTCGGAAAAGAAGGTTTTCCCCACGTGCGGAGCTAGCTGGTTTATTTGTTTCATCGCCCGTTTTAGGGCTCGGCAATTTAATGAGCCCGCACGGGTTTGCGACACCGATGTTTGCTTACCCATGCTACCTGGGCTAGAACATCCGCTCGGCAAGAAAACCTTTTCTGCGTCCCGTTATGCCGCCACAATGAATGAATTTTGTAACTTCAAAGTTACAAAATATATTCGTTTTGATACAATTATTAAAACTACTGAATACAATGTTAATTTGTATTCATATGTTGATATTTATTAATTTCATACTGCATAAATTTTGTTATAGAATTGAATAGAAAAAGAATTGTTTTTATGAAAATAAGCACATATAAGAAGAATAGTTAACACTAAACGTACCGCGAACGGTCAGATGACCGGTTGTAAAATTTGATTTGAAATTCTGCGTTCTTCTCCGTCCATTTAACATTGAATCAATTCCCATATTATCCGATTAACCTGTTTTTCAATTTCTGTCTTTCCTCCTGTTTCTGTTTCTAATAAAAAATATTTTTCGTTTAACTTGTTTACCTTTATTTTATAACTAGTTATTTAACTAGTTGCAGTAAATATAAGTTATATAAAGTGTAGATACGTTTAGTGTTAAATGGGCTTCTGTGCAAGATTCAATACACTACTAAAATCTATTGAAAATATAGGAGTTTGATAATTTAAATGAGATCGAGCCATCTCACTCGGAATTAACCTAACAGAGAAACAAGGTCCTTTGGTTTTACAAAAAGAAGGATAAAACAATTTTACGTTTTTATTCCTCCAAAAGACTCACGACTGCGACGTTTTCCCGCGAAACAATCGTGTGCATTTGACCTAGAACGACGAACATCGTCGGTACGTGTTACCTTTGCTTTGATCGCAATGTAGAAAAATTAATTGGTGAGGTGTTTATTCAATTTGTTATGTGTACTGAATAATTGAAACCATTTCATTATCATGGCTCTGCTATAAAGTGACTTCAGCATCAAAGAAAGTTATTTTGAATAGCTTTTATCGACGCTATCATCGATGTTCTCTTCATCGGTATCAAAGCCGCGATGTAAAAGCAACCTTAATCGTTTTAAGTCCGTAACAAACTTTATCGGGGAAGATAGGTGCTCCAAGATTAGTTTCAGTTTCTCTTTAATTGTCCGTCCCGTGTTTTACTCGTGTTGGAGACGTGAGCAGGGTTAGATGAAAAGAAATTGAGTTTCTTTCAAAGCTTTAATTCGATTTTCTGATTTTTCGACTTGTCAGGGTTAGTTAGCTCCCTTGACTTGTGATTTGTTTCGTGTCTTAACTCGCAGAGTTCGCTTATTGCTGTCAAATAACTTCTCAGCGGAAAAAGAAGCTGTGCATTTATCGCAGAAGTATGTTTACTGCGAAAAATGAAAATTCAATCGCTGATTTCAGTAAATTAAATTTAACTTCTTTGATTTGACATTCCTTCGCCACGGGTCCGGAATTACAAAGACTTCCATTGAATAAATTACTCTGTTACCCCTTGATTTTTTTATTTCTCTCGTGAATAAGATCGATGAAGTTACTTTGTTACTTCATAGAAAGGGTTCACAGCAGATTTACACTTGCTTAGAAGATTGAATATGAATAATAACAAAATATTTCTTAAATTTCTGAAATTAATCTGGAAATCTTTATTGCAACTCACATTCACGATTATAAAATAAAGGTTAATGCAACGTAGGCTCTTTAATTATAAGAAATAGTTTAAACCAGGTGTCCAACCTTTTATCTTCCCTGGGACTCATTGGAAGATGCCGTGAATAAATTAACTGGATCCATAATTCTTTATTAATTCTTTGCGAACGAAACTGTCTTCGATCTAACATTTCTTTTCATAAAACACAGAATTATGTATAAGAAAGCATAAAAGAAAGAAAACTACATGCCAGTATCTTGATAGTTGAATAACTAAATGATTCATTTGCAACTTTCGATTTTAAATACCGAAGCACGAAGTCGCTCATAAAGTGTGTAAGCTTATTATTATTTGTTGGGCCGTATTCATAACCGTCTTGGGTTGCGGGTTGGACAAGCTTGCTTTAACAATGAACTATCAGAACGGGCACAATGACCCATTCTTTACTTCTCTTTTTTGCAATCATTGAAAAGTTAACAGATGCTTTTCTGAGAAATTCCTAAAGAAATTGATTTAGCAATGCGTAAACTGATCGATTGAGGTATCTAACTACTGTTAGAGTTTTCATAGACAAAGTTCAAAACGACAGTCTATCAGCTCGGTGGTTTCAGTGTTAACACTTTGCTGACCGGTCACGAGTAAACTCGTGTTTACACTTGCATTAGCCATTTCAATGTTTGAAAAGCAGGGCAATATAAAATATTGCAAAAGCAAAATATTCAAAGCTATTTAAAAGATATGTCCAAAGTTTTATTTCAATTCATTATGTAGAAATAAAGTATATTGAAGTTTATTTAGATTGTATCACTTTCATATTTAATTACGAAATAATAACCGGTGACATGGGATAGCTTCTGCGTAAAAATTCCAGGCAACAATGTGTTAAACCATCTGGCAGATGTATATACTAGTACCCCAAAAATCTGCGAAACAAACAATAAATACATTCGATTAAGTCTTAAACAACCAACTTGTATCGCGTTTCATAACCACAGAACCCAAAAGAAACTGCCAGAAAACGAATCTTTTCATTCACGATGGGAACTCAGCTTTGAAACCGTTTCCGTGCGCGCGACGCCGCGAGAGATACCATTTACCGGCGCCGTTCCTCCTCTTGGAACCGCGTTCGCGGTGAATAGGCCGGGCTCGCGAGTTTCCGAAAGACGCACTCTTCAAAGTTTTATCACGCGGCTTGCGTGCCAGCACGCGGACCCCGCGTCTTTCGTCGAGCCGGAACATTCGAGGACCTTTAATTTTCCGGTTGCAAGCGGCCGCCGTGCCGTGCCGTCGCAAAAATGTTGTCGCGGCTCAACCAGACCGGAAATGACACGTACCGATCGTTCGGGTGGCGGCCTCCGGAAAACAAACTTCAGGCAAATGCCTGGCGAGAAATTGATTTTCCCCGGGCGGAAAATAGACGGCGCCACGGTTCACGGTGACTTAGCTCGAAAAACAAAGGTGACCTTTTCCCTGTAGCAGCACGGCGCGGCACGACGAAATGGCGAAGGGTGAGGAAAGCGAAAAAAAATCCTTGTTTACCGTAAGTCAGGCGAAAATTATGTCCCCGTTCGCCATGTTCGCTGGAGGACCCTCTCAATTTCAAACGGTATCGATGATCGGTATTGGCCTTCGACGATGGATAAATAGGTTTATTAGGGACCGATGGGCTTATTTGCGAAGTATCTATCAGGGAGGATTGATTATCGCAAAGGGGTGAAAGTGGAAGTTATAAGGGGTTTTCGATATTTATAATTAGTAGGATGTTTGAGAATGGATCATGGTTTTCAGTAGTTTGATGTTTGGTTTACTATAATAATGGTGTGGTTTACTATAATAATGGTGTAATTTGTACTCTTGAGTTCTCGAGAAAGGAAAGCATTTGCGAAATGTTCTTGGAGTAATTAAATATTAATGTTATATTATTGGCGGTATTATGTTATTATTAACTGTTGATAATAGTAATTGTATTATTGGTGTTTTTATTTTACACATACTTTTCATGTAAGGTGTTATTCTGAAGCGTGAATTTCGTAGCCTCGATTGGTAGATAATTTTTTGTTTCTTTTTTATATTTATTTTTTACTAGTGGATTGGTGATTTAAAGGTATTTATATTGTAGCTTACAAAGATCTTTAAAATCGAATAAAGCGGATAGTTTAGAAATATCTAATCTTTCAGCAGCAGATTTTACTCATTAGAAATTTTTAAATGCTGGCGAAACTGCGATGGCTCTGCTAGCACTCCGGATTTAGGTACTAATTGGATATTAAAGTTTGCACCAGGCCGACGGAAGTGTATTAATTATAGCGAACTTTATTTTGACTAATTAAATTTGTTTCAAACGTAATCAAAAGTATGGGATAACTTAATAAATTATAGATAATGGTAAAAATTTACTGTTTCAGAGGTAAAGTTAGCGGATGTATATAAAAGGAAAATGCGTTTTCCTTAATGATTTTATAAATTTCTCTTATAAAATAATTATACTATAAACGTATGGAATTCGCAGATTACTCATGTTAATATAATAATTTCACGTCGCTCTAGGTTCGTAACGTAATTGCAATTAATTTCCAATGGCATTTACCTCATATCTATATCAAATAATAATATAATGGAATATTTAAAATTGAACGAAATAACAAATTTAATGTAATTTAATATTTTCGATTTAATTATTAATATTATTAATATGAATTATTAATATGAACAGTATATTCTTCAACTGTTTTTATTTCCCAGGATACTAAATTCTCTCCAAGAATTAATTTATTTTCGTTATTCCTATTGTTTTATTTCGCTGGCCCAAATAGAACATTAATATTAAGCGTGAAACATTTCTCCTAGATAAGCTATCAAACGCTCCACGGCCCGTTTAATTTAATCCGAGCTCATTTTTTTTTACTTTTACCCAACTGTACTTTTTGCCGTTTCGTTTGCAGAATACTAACAGAACGTTACCGTTAAATTTATCTGTGCGATCAAGATAAACTTCCGATTGATGTCGAAGATAATGTCTGAAGAACAATTTCAAACATGCTGTTAGAAGAACGGCGTGAACGGAATTAGAATTAGGATCGAAGTCTTAATTCACGAAGAAAACGAGTGAGAACATCGAATATTTTCGCCGGCAGAGATCACGCGGATTGGCTGTAAAACAATAGCGTGCCGACAATTTGAGAGCTGAAGCTTTATCGATAATGAGTCTCGAAGGGCAGGAGTCGTTAGTTGGAAATTGCCGAGCGAATCTGAGACGGATGAAATATCAGTAGAAAGCGAACTCGCGGGATCGCTGAAATTGAGATTGGCATGGGGCGCGGGGACGTGGAAAGACGCAGTGAGTTTCGTTCGGACAAAATTGAAATTCTGACGACGCCGACGGCATTACGACTGTTCTCGCTGTCTGTTCCGATGGAATCTCAAATTTTCCGGCTTTCGTACCACCCTACGAAATCCGACTTAATCTCGATGGAATATTTTCGCCGTGGAAAGACTATTTCCGTCATCGTTGACAAGTTATTTTCGTAATTAAAGTATTAGCGCTTTGTTTCGAACTAATTAACACATTATCTCTCGAATCTACTATAATTTTCGAGAAATTCCTGCTTCATTTGGCGAGATTGAAATTGCAAAATATCGTCTGCATTAGCTTGTATTATGATAGGTACGCAACGTTGTGACTTTTTGCGACGAGCTATTATTTTACGGTTAGTTATTTCGTTGATTATTTGATTACACAGACGGCGCTGCGAGGTAGCAAAAATAAACGAAGGGTGGTTCAAGGAACCTGTTTGCATAGACCGTTACACAAATCTCCGGCACTAATTGGCTGTTGATTGATGAGCAACGATGCCAGCTGCCGTCGGGGAAAATCAACGGAAGGTTGAGCTTATTTTTCGTTTTGTTTTATCGAGTTATCGTTCGTATCTCCGCGTCGAGATACTTTTTGAGAAGTAGTATGTTGTTCTTGTTTCTACCAACGCTTTTTAAACACTGTTTTGTATGTTTCATTCGGCGAACTGATTTGTTAGCTTCAAAACAAAAACATGTGCGTACGTATAAAACGTATCACAAATATTATCATTTCTATTTAGCCAATTTTTATTTTTCAATGGTTGATCCTATGAATAACGTTCTTGATTATTGTACAATCACTTTCTAAAGATGGAGAATGAATCTTTAATTACACGAATTTATTGTAAGCACAATGATCGATCATGATTCACGCTTGCTAAATTCAGTGGTTGTTCGACTTCGATTGAACGAATGATTAATTCAGCATTCGAACAACTCTAATTGAAACGAGAACTCTTGATGTTCGAGATCCAATTAGGCGCGCATCGATCGATCCCCTGAGCCACATAATTTTCCGCGGGCAATGTTTCCTATTCTTTTTTGACTGACACGAGTTATTAACAATTCAATCGACGCGTTAAATTATCTATCACTTTGATTCGCAACCGGCCGACGATCGAATCTGGCGTCAAACGATTGAACGTGGTTCTGTTTTTAATATGTAGATTGCTGCAAAAATTTCGGAAATTCGCTGTTATTCAGTTGTTTCTTAATTTCGTAAAGCTTCACATTTTTAAGTTTAGAAAGTATCGACACAACATAATGGAAAATGTATCAATACTGAAGAAGAATAATTTGAAAAACAAGGAAACCATTAGTCAAAACTTATTTGTGATTTTTATCATTCTTTCTCGAAACTTTTACAGTAACCCACGTAGAAGGAGGATATTACGAGTGTCGCCGATGGTAAAATGTAACATTTTAACGACACACGAAATATTGATCGTGTGTCGAGTTAATTAGAGTGATTAACTTTAACGCATGTTACTGAAGAAACATTGCGAACATTTTCGTTGATTCAGTAATATCTACTGAAATTTCCTACCAATACTATATGCCTTTATAATTTTGTTTATAATATTTATGTAATAAAGTAAATTTCCTGTGTCGATTAATTTTAGTATTCTGTACTGAATAATTGAAAATTCAAAAAGTTTCTTAATTAGTCCCTTCACTTAGCTACTTTATTATATTGTCGGTCACTGTACAGAAGATAACTGTTATTTATTGAATCATATGCTGCTGAATTCATTAATATAAAAATTTCTATTGAAATTAGAAATAATCTCTTGGATGATAGAATTATATAACTATACATATTTAGCATGTAAATAGAGCTAAATAAAAATTAATCGATCTCTTTAATTAATTATTCATTTTACAAAACTGTATCACTATTATTATACACTTTTAATGTTTCGAATTAGCCTAGTAAATAATTCGAAAGGTGACCAGAAAAGGTAGCAATTTATTATATGCTGCCAATTTATTAAACATTCCACGAGAAAGTAGCACAAAATATCAAATGAATTGCTATTTAGGATTAAATCGCGACTGCTTTCAGCAGTTCAGGCGAATTTTTTTGCCCGGGAAAAATTCCACGTCGAGGGAAATTAGTTTCCGGAACTATGAAGACACAATCACATTGCAAACCGTGAGACTTGCAAATCCTGAGCCGAACGAATAAGACATTCTCGAGAGAAGTTACTCGTAAAAATGGTCGAAGTCGAATTGCTTTTCGAAGTTTACAGTTTCGAGACACGAACGAGAACGAAATTGGTAACGTATATCTGTTAATTTATGCGCTGATTTCGCCATTTTCCGCTTGAAAATCGCTCTTTGTTAGATTTGTTAGATTTTCAATACTAATAGAATCCATAACTTTAAATTATTAAATCATTCTTTAAACTCTAATAACAAAGTAAATCGATACAATGAAACCGCAAAGTAGAACTTCAGCGAGTCATAAAAATAAATTTTCTTCTAATACGAATTGTTTAAAAAAAAAATAATTTGAATGTAGGAATTGTAACATAACTTATTAAATAAACTCAATACAACTCCATTCCATCGTTATAAACCGAAGTCGGAAAATAGAATAAACGAAAAAGTATACATATAAGTTAATACTTGATAATTAAGCATGATGAATAGTGTCATTTAAATTTGTAATCTCCATCATGTTAAGGTTTGTTACTCAGTGAATAACAACAGTAACTTCACGGAAAGATATTTTTTATCGCACATAAATCCTATAATCCGTGGCAAATGGTCACATTATTCGCGAAAATCGAGATTTTTCCTGATCTTCATGAGCTCACTCAACACGGGGAACATTAGACGCGCTCATTAATTACGTTCCTGCTGCGCTGTTGGCAATTAAGTTCGGAGAGACGCGGCATAATTTCAGTAGGTATCAACGTCGGAGTTCAGGACGAGTTAATGTCCCGGCGGTTTGTCTCGCATACAGATTACATCTGCGACTTTTCGCTTCGGGAACGTGGGGAGTTGCGATCAAGCTTTGATTCCACCGCGATGTTTCACAGCTAACAATTAAATATGCATAACGTTTCACGTTTCGTGTGGAAGGAACATCCTCGAAACAGGTTTTTCACATTTGTATGAACGAAATGTTAGTATAAATCGGGTGTGATCCTGAAAAATGTCGTTTAAAAAAACAATTTCGTCGGTGTGACGTTAATAATGAGTAATTATCTCTTGAATACCTTTTCCAGAATAATATGAGCCAAATTCTTGTTGGGAAATAACAGTAAAGAAAGGACGTTAATGGAATTAAAATGTTTCTCTCTATTTTAGTTCATTAGAGACGCTGATAAATTAATTTCACTGTTGAAACATATTGAGTTTCGTACGCGGTAGATGGTACAGTTTAATTGAATACAAACAATGATTGGTTATTATTTTCCATTGGAAATCATAGCGAGCTGCGCTAAATTCTAGATATGCGAAATATCAATATAACGAAGAACTATTTACCTCGAGTCCTTCTATATTGTAGATTGAATTATTTAATAAGAAATTCGAAACTCTAAATTAATAATCAATTTCTTCCCAACATTTTATCTTGTTAACCTTAATTTCCCAACGAACATTTTCCTTTCGCACTACTATGATAAATATTAAACTATTCCCTATGTTGTAGTTACGAATCAAATCACAAGTCAAGGATTGAAAGAAGTAAAATTCTTTATCCAGAACGACACTGTATCTACCAAAGTTCCAGCGTCTTGAAAATTAGTGAACCTCCAAAAATATGCTCTCACAAATGTGTGATACCGGAGGGGATCGTTGCGAAACGTGTTGGAGAGGAAGTTTCGTACAAGCCACAGGTGAGTCGGTCCTCGTCAAGCGAGTGTATAAAAGTACGTATCCTGCCACCTCCGAAAAAAAGAGAAAGAAAAAAATAAAGAAGAAAATACACAATGACTACTTACTCTGCAGACAGTCCGCGTTGAGCAGATCCTTGCACTTTTCGTGACACTTGACACCGCACTCCGTGCACCGCACCCCTTGGCGCGCTATGCCCCAGAGTAGCCCCTCGCACTCGTAGCAGTAGGTCGGCGACGTGGCCGTCCAGGTGACGAACTTGTGCGGCGTCGTCGAGGAGATTGGGTAGATCATTGCTTGCAGCGTTTTCTTATACACGTGCATCTTCTGCGGGGGTTTCAGTGTTGCAGAACGCAGTTAAAATTGGGAAACAAATCGATAGGGCGGGTAGAGGGCTTGGGAACTCTTTGAACGCACACCTCATATCACCTCGGCTCGCTGTTTGTGCAGTGGGTTACTGATCTCGAAGTTCTTTTTTAAATCGCGTCGACGAAAAGCATGAAACCAGGTCTTGTAGGGAATAAAATTGTAACGGCTACTTTGTGGCTGATTGTCACACGACGTGAGAGGAATATCGGAAACTTTGGATCGAAAAACTTTAATTTGACGACTTTAGTAGCACGACAATGGAGAAATGTGCTTTCGTTCGGTTTATCACCGAGTTTTGTTTATGATTTTTCATTTGGAGCGGTTTCATTTAATAGTATTAATTGAATTGATTATTTTGATGGTAAGTTAATGATACCATTTATGAAAAGAACAGAAACGTGGAGTATGAGTTGTTTTGGAATGCAAGAGAATCATATTCTGTAATTGGGTTTCCAGTTCTGAGCCTCCTTGACATAAATTGATAGCAGTTCCGTTAAATATTCATAAAATAATGTTTTCGGACCTGGTCTCTTACTTTTTGCAAGACATATTTCCTCCGGGAATATTGCATTTCCGAGTGCAGAGAAATTTTCATTGGGTATTCTTCTCTTTCCGGAATCGTTCAACTATATATTTACTGTAATTGACTGGCAGCCAAGAGAGGAAAGAGAATGAAATTGCAGAGAGTCGCGCAATCATAACTCTCGGCAGACATCGAAAATTTGATCAAGGTACTTGATGCGTGCGCTTCCCTTAAAAGGATATTTGACGTTTCGAGCTGCAAATTTTCCGCTTCTTTTAAAACAGGGTTAGCAGGAATATGAAACGCCTAGGAGTCAGAATTATATTTTTGCTTGAAAAGCGTTTAATTTTGATGGACGTATATCATGAAGATAACAAATCAAATCAACGATTAGTTTCAAGATATAAAATGCTGAAAGTCTTTTACAGTGTTCTATATCGTTCACAATTTAATCAACCGTGGCTGGATGCCAATCAATTTAACTAATCAATAAACCGTTTCCTAGAGTCCTTCATTTCCAATGATTCTACTTGAACCATGAGTATTTACAATTGTATTATGAACGTCACATCTATGAGCAAATAAATAAATGAACATAAAAGAGATGGGGCTAGAGACTCTATTAATCATTGATTATTCGTAAAATTATTCACATCTCGATTGGACACTATTATGTCTATGAGATTCTAGGATTTTCATTACAGTGTCGCAGAACATACTGCGCGTTTTAGAACCATATTACAAGTACACATAAATATAATTAACACTATTACAATATTTTTTATGTCATAATAACGAATATTTGTAATATTCGTAATAATATAATTCGTCTCTTACACAAAAAGAAAATGAAATGATAAAAAATAGCAAGACTGCGCAGTATTTCACACGATACCCTAATACCATCATGCTGCTACCGAGTTTCGCTTTCCATAAGTGAGCCGAGGTGCCATTCACCCGTCGAAAACACAGACATGGTCTAAGGACGAGTGTCAGTAGATCTATAGTCGAATCTCCAGACCGTTTCCACGTGGAATCTGCGTTTTCGAGCTGTTCAATCGTACGAAGAGCTCGGTTACACTTGCATGCAGAGTCCAGACTGCTTGCAAGGCTCACATACACGCTGCCAATCGCGCCAGCCACACACTAGCAATCGTGTATCTGTTCAGGCGCAAGATCATAACGTGCCGGGAGCGTTTGGTGCCTTGGCGAGACCTAATTACCACACGCAATTCTGTGTACACAGATTAAACACGGGGTAGAGGGCATCTGATTTGGATGTTCAGCCGCGTGCGAGATCCGGCAGGGATCACCGTTCGAGACGCCATTGCGTCGCACGCTGGCGCTAACGTCTCGCGGCGTCCTTCCGAAACTTCTCTAACGAGGGGGCAAACAACACGTGGCAGAAACCAAACGAGGAGGCTAATCCTGTAACTCGGTCCAGACGTGTATTTGTCCTCGTCAACTGGTTACGCTGGCTGCGCTAATTGTGAGCCACAGGGAAATCGAGTGGCTCTACGTTATCATGACAGGCTGACCGCTAATCTTGTGACACTTTGACGGTGTATGCAATACTGGATTCTCTGTTAGTTGTTATTATTAACTTCACGGCGCGCATGTGCTTTGTAATTAGAAGCGTTGCGGATGAAGTATATTCAGGCATGCTAATTAAAATTTTTATCAGTACGTAAGGGAAGGTTTTCCTACGTTGAAGCTCATTATGTTGTCTCATTAACGTAGTGGGAATTTTGAGATAACAATATTGAATTTCATATTTTAAAACTGTAAGCAAATGTAACGGCATTGTATATTATATTTTTCATAAGAAACAACATTGTTTTCTAAACTTTGTAGAATAGTGACTATACATTTTGAAAAAGCAAAGAGTAAAACCTGCTGGAAAGTTAAATCTACCCTGATGCTACATCATTCTAATTTAAATTCCTGAACGAGTAAGACGCATCGCACCGTCTTTCCTTTGCCCGTGCATCAAAGAAGATCGTAAAAGAAAATTGTTCTACTCATTCCTTAAACTTTCTCTTCAAGAAGAATTCTGCAATACTAAATATTCTAGTTGTAAGAGAATAAAAAATATTACAAAAGGAAAGTATCGCAGCAACGAAAGTGTTGGATCATGTAAATTAGAAATTTCTATTTCTTCATATTTGGGGTTCGACATTTCTATTCCTTTATATCCAGGGTTTAACACATTTCTATTTCTTTATATTTTATATTTTTACAAATATTCTTCTATCGTTTGCACTATCAATTTACTCAACTCGTTATTGTTAAATAATAACCCTCAACTGTACCGATTCTCAACAAATTGACCTCGAGTCAGTAGTAGCTACTGGAAACTGACTTACGATATAAAGAGAAAGTTCGGCCTGTCCTTTTCATCGCTTAGCGTAACCAGCACTCCAGTTTTCGAGGAATCGCGCACGGAAGAGGGGTTAGGTTTCGCTACGAGGATCCTCGAGGTTTTCGGGATCTATTTCTCCGTATCTCTCGGATGCGGGATCGTTGCATCCCGCGGCTCTCGAGGATCCTTCGCGTCGGTTCCTTTTACTCGATTTTTATCCTTCTCTCGTATCGACACTTCGAAAGGGCTTCCCCGTCGGTGATGATCGAGAAGCGAAATTTTTATTCGAACATTTCTCTCCCTCGGCAAAGCGGCGCTTCTCCTATCGATTCGACGAACAGCATTGCCTCGATTCGTTCGTCGTCTTTCCCATTTTGCTTGATTTTTTCGTTCCCTTTTCGCTTTCGTTTCCTAACCACTTCCGGAGGAAGAGAAGAAGAGTATCGAGAGAAAGATGGAAAACACGTTTTCTAGAGGTGTCAGACTATTGGGTCGCTTCTGCGGGGTGGTTCGGGGGTGTGAAAAGCATCGATCCACTAAAAAAGCACTATAGGGTTCGCGACGTGACTACCGGATGCTCCTCATTTTTCCCCTCGTTTATCTTTGCCCACTTATGTTGTTCGACCGGCGTTACCCGTTGCAAACATTTCGAACCAATAATGAGAAGTGGCCAGTGTATACCCTATACATCGACGTTGTTGCGGAACATGATACATTGACCTGTTAAACTAGTCTATTTAAGGCTGATCGGGATTGTTGTATTATTTACAGTGTTCCACGTAACTCGCTGAAAATGTTGTATACGTCACGGGGCAGGAGCTGGGAAATTTCGAAGTTCGCCTTGAATACAGAATCGAGGTTCCACGATTTTACGTGATCTTTGTTTTGTTTATATTCTTCCTTATTTCTCTTCAGTGTATCGTTCTTAGTTGCAGACTAATATAAAAACTACATATTAATTTTTTGTTACCTTTTTATCCTTTCAAAGATACTTTCAAACTTGAGAAAATAAAGAGAAAATTATTATTAATTTACGCGTACTTTTTCAATTACATTCTGAATATATCAATATACTAACACAAATATCGTTAATTGTAAGTCCACGAATCTTTCGTTTAGATTCTCCATTTGATTTGAACGCTCGAACGAATGTATTAATGTAGTAAACCATCTGAATCGAGTTTCAACGACTTGTGCTGTAATTCTAGTATCAAATAATTTATTAATGGAAAAAGGTAGAAAGCAATCATTATTAATAAATCATGTAAACGATGCTGCAGCTTTCTCCATAAGGAACAGAAAGCGTAGTTGTTCACTGACTGGCAATCCCGATGACGTTACGAATCGTAGGGAATTATTCAGCGATTAGATGAAATCAACACCGCCCCCGAACACCTGCTATATAGGATTCCATTCATCGGATACGAGGAGCATCCGTTATCACGTGCTGGGATCAGAGAATCCTAGCTCTAGCCTAATTACACCCGGTTTACATGACCACTGTAGCATCTCATATCCACGATTTCCTATACGTGACCCACATCCAAGCTTGCACACAGGAACACACACGACCGTACACGCACGTACCGACTACTACGCACGCGTTCAGCAATTCCCGTGACGGACGTGTAAGTACAAATACTTGTATGCAAATATTACGCATGACGTTCACCCTAGCCGCTAGAAGAAACGACTTTGTCTAGGATCGCTACGAACACGTTGCTTTTTTCTCAAGAGTCACAGAGCGTGATCAAACAGAAAGAATAGAGAAAGAAAGAGAAAGAGACAGAAAGAAAGAAAGAAAGAGAGAGAGAGAGG